ACCACATATTCTTTCTTTCTTAATTTTGATCCTTCACACAAAACAATAGATGTAGCACCTTCTACTGGAACAGCACTCCTGAGTTTACAGAGCGCCTACGCTACGCTCTTTTACTAGGGTGGGGTTGAAACTCACAGGCCTGACCCTTCAAACTCCCCAGGAAATAGAGGCCATACCACGGCCCCGGGGAAGCCCTGGCTGTGCTCACCACAGCTCCGCTACATCCAGCACTGGACACAGCAAGAGGAACACGGTACAGCAATGTTATGGCGACTGAGCCTCAGACTCCGGGGTCAGTGAGTGGCCCGAGGCCTCAGGGAGCCCTGGCAGAGTCAGGTCCAAGTCCAGCTCTCCTAACTCCAAATCCCATCCTCATGCCCTTCCTCATGCTGCCTGTCTCCTTATAACACCAAAATGCCTTCCCCGAAAGGCCAGAGCGCAGGCAGGGAGACTGGCAGGGAGACTTGGGCGGGGGAAGGCTTCTAGAAGGGTAGGCTGGTAAACAGGGACAGGCAGAACGGCTAGGAGCCTCGAGACACCAGGTCTGACATAAGGTACAAGACGGGTTTAGAAATCTCCAGATGGAGGAGGAGGGAAACCTGGAGAAGAGTCCTTCCCAGCACAGCAAAGCCCAGGTGACGCAGGGGAGCGCGGGGCTGGCTCTGGCAGCAGGGACGCCCCACTGCAGGCCCAACCACCCAACACCCAAAAGGGGATTTCTGGGACGAATCCGTGTGGCCGCTCTGCAGATTGCCTTCCCCGCCATGACGTATTTCTGGCCTAGGTGAAAAGCGACCGAAACCCACAGTCCACAGCTCTTCCTGTGTGCCACTGAGCACAGGTTCTGTGCTAGGTTCCAGGAGGGATTCCAAATGTGAACACAGCGCGCTCCAGCCTGGGTCTCGGGCAAAGGTGGCGGGGATGCCAGGCTGACTCTAAGGAAAGAAAGACTCTCTTGGGGTTTTCTTCATTCATCCAATAAGTAGCACAGAGGGTCTACAGGGTGCCAGGCACTGTTCTAGCTGCCAGGGACGCAGAGGTGAACAAAGTCTTTATGCTGCAGTGGTAAGAGACAGACAGTAAACAAACAGACACAGAAACAACAAATCCAACGTTAAAGTCAAGAAGAAACACAAAGCAGGGTGGACAAGAAGGGGGACGTGATGCTGGTTTTCAGGGTCGCCAAGGAGCTGGCATATCCACAGAGAACTGAAGTAAGGGAGCAGGGCAGATGCACATTTGAGGGAGGTACAGATCAAGGAGAGGAAAACGCAGGTGCAAAGACCCCAAGACAGGCGAGTGCTTGGCAAATTTGAGGACCAGAGGATAAGAGAGAGAGAGCCTGCACTCAGCTGGGATCGTCAAGGATGGCCAAGAAGGCCCTGGGCCAAGGTGCCAGGTGGGGATAAGGTGGGGACACCGCAAGCCTGGGCAGAGAGCCTGTCTGTCTGGACCCTGGACAGTGGGAGGGACCACATTTGAGAGGAGGGGAGAGAACTGGAAAAATCAGGCTGAGGAATGTGGGTTTGGAGTGGACACCGGGGAGCCACTGAGGGCTTGAGCAAGGGAGACCTGGCCTGGGTCCAGCTGCCAAGGCAGAGTCCTGCAGATGGCATAGAAGTCCTAATTCACACAGCTATGGCACCCCACCAAGATGTAGGGTTCCCAAAAAGCTGCAGGAATCTCAAGCCCCACTGCGCCCAGAGAGAGCCCAGCTACACGACCTTAAGGTCGCTGTCCTCCTGGGGCATCAGAGAGGACACGGAGCACAGAAGACTGGCTGCAAGGGAAGACAGCGCCCACGACAGCTGACTCAGCCTGTGCCAGCAGGCTGCTCTGAGACACGAGCTGGACGAGACCCAGAGAGTGGGTGGGGGGATGCGGGGAGGGGGACAGAGCTGGAGAACCCGCCCTGTGGGCTCACAGCCCCATACCATCCGGCACCCGGGCCACCTCCCAGCTGCAGCATGACAGTCATGCCGACGACACAGCTCAGTCCTCACGGTCACCCTGCAAGGTCTGGGCTACTGTCACTGAAGGCCCTTCCCTACCTTCTCTAAGGCCAGGCTGCAAGGCAGGCCTGCTGGTTGCTACCACTGATTCCGGAAGGCCCCTGAGGCCAGGCATGATGTGTTCAGGGCCTCTGTGCCCACCTGCTCATAGCCCTCTCAGGTCCCCCCAGCAAAGGTTCCTCCAAGGCTTCCAGACAGTGGTGTTACCAGATGTCCCCACCTGTTGAGTCTCCGGGTGCGGTTGTGCAGATCCAAGGACAGAGGGGGCACCAAGGAGGACCTGAGGCCTAAAGCTTCTGTCCACAGGCCCCCAGGGCAGACCCCACAGGCACCCCCGCCAGAGCCCAGTCTAGTGCCAACCTCCCCATTGAACATGTTTTTCCTCTGAGTTCCTCAGTTGTGTCTAGGAAAAATCAAGGTGTGTTAGCGCTCCCTCTCAGCTTCAGGGGTGCGACTGGTGTCTTTTACAATTATCTTTTATTTTTATCTGGCACTTCTTAGCTCAGTTGGCAAACTGGATTATTTATGTGCTTCCATTTCACAATTCGTCCCCACCAATTATTCCTGTGAAACTAATATTTTATAATTTAAAAAAAAAAGGTTAGGAGTACTCAAGGGATAGTTATGCAAACAAGCTAACGAGTCACAACACAGGCTGGGGGGTGTGGGGGACGAGCAAGCAAACAAGCAAGGTGGACAAGAGTAAGAAGCTGACCACCACAGGCTTCCCCCTCCTGCCAAAACCCACTCCACCTCTCACACTCCGTCACGCACATGCACACACGCAAACACCCCATCTGGTTCAGGCTGTACTTCTCCCAGACACAGAAGCCCAGTACCCTGGAGATAGAAAGGAGGCAGTGTCGGGAGAGGGGATGATGACGCTCCCTAACAATGGCTAGAGGTCTGGGGACACAGGCTCCCACAAAGATTCCCTGGGGCGCCCCGTCACTAGAGTCATCATCCAGACCCTCCTGGCCGGTTCTGTAGATCATGCAAGGGTCTCTCCACCGGTACTGCTGGTGCCCAGTGCGGGTGGCTGCCCGCCAGCTCCAACTCACTCTAACACCCTGGACACCGCCCAGAATCCCAGCTCAGTCGATGTCCCTGTTGTCCACCCTCCCCCGCCCCCAATCAAGAGACCCGCTCCATGCCAGGCTGTAGAAGGAGGCAGCACAGATGCCATCAGGTGTGAGGGCACAGGGCAGGGCATCCTGGTACCCCTGGGCTGGGAAACCAGACCGGGTCCCCTGCACGGTGGCCCCTCCCACCCAGAGAAGGAGAAGCCCCCCTGCCTCACCTCATCAGAGCCACCACCTTGATGCATCTCAAATCAGCGCCACCACCTCCAAGCATCTCAAATGTGGCCTCCGAAAAGTTGTCCCCTGCACCCTTAAAGCTTTCCGTCATTATTTCTAAAGCCACTGTTCTTTCTCAGAGAACGAGCCACAGGGGAAAAATCCCAGGAAGGGAGACAGAGGTTGACAAAGCCAGCGACTGCCCACAGAACCAAGTGTCCAAAGGAGTGGGCCAGCCTGGGTACTTCGGGGTGCCCAGACCTTTTGTAAGTTCACTGAACCCCAGGCAGGAGGCTGGCCCCTGTGAGGCCCTATCTGAATAGATCTGAAAAAAAAAAAAATTAAGTCTTCCTTCTGGAAGTAAATACTAAGTTAAGACCAGCAGGCGCGATGTCAGCCTCCACCGTCTCGGTGAGGCTGGGGCGGGCGGCCACCGCGCCCAGGCCCAGGGCAAGTTCACCTCCAGCCTGGGCACACCAGGCCCGCCGCCCCCCGCCCCGCCGCGCCCGCCCCATGCCCAGCGGGGAGATCAGGGGGCGCAATATTCGCCGTGATCGACAGTGGCCCAAGCCCCCTTCAACAGCCTGGCCAGGCGGCGTCCGCCGTGGGGAAGGGCTCGGTCCGCGCCGCGTCCGCCCCAGCCCCGCGCCCGCGGCCCTGGGGAGCCCAGGAGTGGAATTTTTAATTGAGTAGTTTCTCCCTTTGGGCCTCATTATAAAAAGAAAAGGGAGGGGAGCGCCGATCGGGGCTTGGCTTCCTGCGCGGCGGGCACCCCAGAAGCGACCCCAAACTCGGGAGTTGCCGCCCGGCCCGGGGACTTGGTGCCAGCGCCCAGCGCGGCCGCGGAGCGTCCTGGCGGCCGGGCCACCCCGGCGGGACCCGGGCAGGCAACCGCCATCGGCTCGCGCCCCCGGTGCGCGCGGGGTCGCCCCTCGCCGCGGCGCCCCCACCCGTGATGCGCGAACCTCCGGCTCAGCCGCGCCGCGCCCGCCCGCCGCTCGCACCCCCAGACCCCAGGGGCGCGCGGCCACCCCGCCAGGTCCGGGGGCGCAGCGCTCGGGCCGCAGCCTCCGCGCGCCCCAACCCTGCGCCTCGGCGGCCCGGACGCCCCCAGCCCGCGGCCGCGGACGAGCCGGCGGCGGGGCCCCCGCTTACCTGGCCCGGCGCGGGGCTGCGCGCTGCTCGGCCGCCCCCACCCCGCCGCCGCCGGCTCGGTCCGCGAGGCCGCGCGCGGGGCGCCGCCGCAGCTCTTTGTGAGCCCGCGCGAGCCGCGCACCGAGACTGCTAATGAGCCCGGGAAGCTGGATAGCGGCGGGCGCGCCCCGGACGCGGCGTACGGCACGCAGGGCCGTCTCTGCCCGGCGCACGCGGCACCCCGCACCGGGCTGCGGCTGGGCGCCCGCGCCCCCGCCCCGCCGCGCCCCGCCCGGCCTCTCCCGCCCGGCCCCGGGGAGCTGAGGTCGGGGCGCGCCGGCCGGCGAGAGCGCGCGGCGGGGAGAAAGGCAGGACAAAGATGCGCCCGCGCCGAGCCCCTCCCCCAGCCCGGCGCCGGGGCTGGAGACCGGGCGCACCTGGGGGGCCCGTGTCCTGCGGGGCGGGGGGCAGGGCCGGAGCCCAGGCTCTGGAAGCCGCGACGCCCCAACCTCCCCGAGCTCTGGGGAGCACGCAGATTCCCGGGCGCGCCCCGGACCTGCCGGATAGGGAGCCGTAGGGGTCCGGTCCTCCAGCGAGCAGAACAGGTGACGGCGGGGAGCCGGGCGCCCGCACCCTGCCCCCGGAGCCGCGCTGCCCCCTGGCGGGCACCAGAGCGCGTGTGGCGCGGAGGGGCCGCGGCGACCGCGCCCTGCTCGGGCCCGCGCGACTGTGGCCCAGGGCTCCTGGAGAGAGAGAAACCCTGGGGGGGGGGGTCTTGGAAAAGCCCATCTGAGCAGGGGAGGCTCCCCGCTGCCTCCCCCACTCCAGAGGCAGCTTGGGCTGCATTCCAGGTCTTCTCTCCTAGTCCCACCCCATCACCCCCATTTTAATGCCCTGCGCTGCCTTAGTCCCCTACTTCTGGGCCCCACTTGCCCTTTCTCTCCTTGCTGCAGTAAAGGGAGACCCTAACCAGACACCCACCAATAGCATAAGGAGAGTTGGTCATCCGGCCCTCAGTGGGAATAATCCCCCCGGAAGCCCTTAAAGATTGTGCTGGAGACTCTGGTGTCACCTTTGACCTCTCTGTTCCTTTCATTCAGTCCCATGCAGATGGGCTTGCCTGTAGGTTCCACCTGGAGAGGTAGATGGGGTGCCTTAGCTCAGGTACCTCTCTCCCCCAAAGCCTGAGTTTTTTTCCTTCTGCTTTAATGTCTTCTCTTGGGCAAATTAGGGTGAAGTTGGGATTGGGGAAGTTCTGAAGACGTACCAGGAATGGAAGAGGAGACCCGGGGTCCTCCACTGAGGCCTGAGCTGAGCTGGAGCTGGAGAATCTAATCGGCAGATTCAGACTCCTTCGAACTTGCTGGCAGGGCTATCTTCTAGTCCCCCCTGTCTCCCCTACACATCCACCCCTCACACTGTCCTAGAGAACAAGAACCACCAGTTGGAGCTTTGTGGCTAAGATTCCATGCAAAGGCAGAGCCCCAAAGCAGACTTCTATAGGTTTCTAACCCAATGCCTTCCCTCCTCTCCACAGATGGGGTTGTCTTTATTGTTTGTTGTCTACCTGCTTAAATATTCAGGCCATCCAACTAGCAAAAAGTTCATTTCCACCTAACATTCTGTGCCCAAGTTTTGGTAAAATGCCCATGACTGGATATTAACAACTGGGAAGCAATGTTTCTCTAGCCTTAAACATAAGTATGGAGTCCAAATTCTTTATCTTCTTGCCTTGACTCCGATGTGGTGAAATGCTGTAGGAAACCCAACGCCTTTGCAAGAAGGTGATCCTGGCTGCCCTGTGTGTCTCTGGGTGTGGGTAGGTCTTTAGTTCTGCATTGTTCCTTTCAACAACCTCTGTAGTGCTCTTCCCAGCAACAGCTGCTGGGGTAGACCCCATTCCCGCTCACAGGGGCAAGAGTGGCTCACAGCCACCAGTCCTCAAGGTCAAAGGCATTAGCCTGATTCGGAACTCCTAAACCTGGTGGGCTCGAGTCACATCACTATTTAGAGAATTTTAGAGGAAGGTTGGACCTAGAAAGGCCTAAGTATTCCACAAAACTAAGAAACCATAACATTAAAAGAAATTGCTAAAGTTGGCTTCAGGAAAATTCCTGCCTGGCAATTGCCTACTGTAAGCGAAGTCAACAACAAACCAGGAAAAAAATATTTGCAACTCATATGACCAACATTTACTTTCCCTGATATATAAATAGCACCTAGAAATAGGTAAGAAAAAAAGAACAACTTAATAAAAAAAAATATAGACAAGGGAAGGACCAGACAGTTCATAGGAAAGAAAATAAAAGTGACTTTGAGATATCTGAGAAGATGTCCTCCGTGTTCATATTAAGAAAGTCAAATTAAACACACATCTAGACACCATAGTTTTAACCCACCAGGGGCAGAATGCAATACATAGTATGTTCCAAAGAGTTGGCAACTGATGACTGGCAGGTTCCCATATTGCCTGTTGAGTCTAAATCAGTTTTATTTCTGTGGAGGAAAATTAGATCATTTCTATCAAAATTATAAATGCACAAACCCTTGGACCTTAGAATTTCTAAGAGGCTGAAAGGGTCAACCAGAGGTTATGCCTGAGGCTCATGAGGTCGACTATCAGGCTGAACCCAAGTTCACCCTCAAGGCTGGGGGGGATGGACCAGTTTGCCAGCCTAGGACCAAGCCTGGGTGCTGCCAAGGTCAAACAGGCCAGCCCTGGACTCAGACTCGAGGCTTCTTGGGTAGACCAACAGTCCAGCCCCGGCCTCAACATCAAGGCTTCATGGGTCCAAGAGATGGTCAGTCCCAGGTGAGCCTGCAGGCTGCAGGGGTTGACCAGAGGTCCGACTTGAGTTCCACCAGAAGGCCAGCCCTGAGCTCAGGCTCTAGGCTGTGGGGTTGACCAGCAGTCCAGCCTAGGTCCAAAACTGGGTGCTGCCAAGATTGAACAACAGGTCGGCCCCAGATTCAGCCTCAAGGCTCCATGGTAGCCCAAGAATCTGTCCCCAACTCAACACTGAGGCTGTCTGGGTCCACAGATGGCCAGTCTCAAGTGAGACTGCAGGCTGCAGGGGTTGGCCAGAATTCTGACTCTGGGTTTTGGGTGAGGCTCTCGATGTTAACCAGAAGGACAGCCCTGAGCTCAGCCTCAAGGCTGGGGGATCAACCAGCAGGCCGACCCTGGCTTCAATAGCGAGTCTGCCTGGGCTTACCACATGGCCGGTCCTGGGTGAGGTTGGAATCTACAGGTGTCGACTAGAAGTGTGGCCTAGGTCAGAGACTGGGTGCTTCTAAGTTTGAACAACAGGCTGGTCCTGGATTTAGCCTCAAGGCTTCTGGGGTAGACCAGCAATCTGGCCCTGGTCTCAACATCGAGGCTGCCAGGCTATGCCAGATGGCCAGTCCTGGGTGAGCCTGTAGGCCGCAGTTGTCGACCAGGAGTCTCATCTCGAGTTCTTCCTGAGACTTTCCATGACAACACCAAACCGTTGCTAAGATCAGCCTCAAGGGTAGGGGTGGACCAGCAAGCAAGCCTAGGTCCAAGTCTAGGTGGTGCCAAGTTCAAACAGGCCAGCCCAGGACTTAGCTTAGAGGCTTCCAGGGAAAACCAGCAATCTAGCCCCCGATTAACATTGAGGCTATCTGGGTCGACCAGATATCCAGTTCCAGATGAGCCTGCAAGTTGCAGGCTCCGACCAGGAGTCTGACCATGGGGTGTGCCTGAGGCTCTCAAGATGGACCAGCAGGCTGGCTCTGAATTTAGCCTTAAGGCTAGGGGTAGACCAGCTGGCAGGCCCAGAACTGAACATCAATGCTGCCTGGGTCCACCAGATGGCCAGCCCCAGGTGAGCCTGCTGACTGCAGATGTCAACCAGGAGTCTGACCCCATGTTATGCCCGAGGCTCTTAAGGTCGACCAGTTGGCCAGGCCCGAGCTCAGCCTCAAGACTGGGGAGTAGACCGGCAGGCCAGCCCCGGGCTCAACATCAACACTGCCTGGGTGTAACAGATGGCCAGTCCTGGGTGAGACTGCTGGCTGCAGGTATCGACCTGGAATCTGACCCAGGCTTGTGCCTGAGGGTCTCAATATCCCCAAGCAGGCAGGCCTGGAGCTCAGCCTCAAGCCTGTGGGGTTGACTGCAGGCCGTCCCTGCTCTCAATAGGGTGGCTACCTGGGTCTACCAGATGGCTGGTCCCGGGTGAGCCTGGAGGTTTCAGGGGTTGACCAGCAGTCCAGCCTATGTCTGAGCCTCTGTGCTGCCAAGGTCATACAAATAGCCAGCTCAGGAGTCAGCCTCCAGGCTTCCAGGGTAGATAGCAGTCTGACCCCGGGCTCAACATCAGGCTGCCTGTGTGTACCACATTGCTAGTAGCAGTTGAGCCTGCAGGCTACAGGGCTCAACCAAGAGTCTGACCCCATGTAGTGCCAGAGGCTCTCCGGTTTGACCAGGAAGCCGGCCCTAAGCTCAGCCTCAAGGCTGTGGTGTCAACCAGTAGGCTGCCCCCGGCCTCATTAGTGAGGGTACCTGTGTCATCCAGATGGCTGGTACCAGATAAACCTGGAGGCTGCAGGGGTCAACCAGCAGGCCAGCTGAGGTCGAGCCTGGGTGCTGCCATGATTGAACAATAGGATGACCCTGGACTCAGCCTCAAGGCTTCCAGGGCAACCCAAGAGTCCTGCCCAGGGCTCAGCTTCTGGGCTGCCTGAGTCTAGCGGTCATCCAGTCCCAGGTAAGCCTGCAGGCTGCAGGATCGACCAGCAGTCTGAACTGGGATGTGCCTGAGGATCTCTAGTTGGACCAGAAGGCCAGTCCCGAGCTTAGCCTCAAGCCTGTGGTGTCGACCATAAGGCTGGCCCTGTCCTAATAGGTAGGGTGCCTGGGTCTAACAGATGGCTGCTCCTGGGTGAGCCTGGAGGATGTAGGTGTCGACCAGTAGTCTGACCTCGGTCTGAGCCTGGGTACTGCCAAGATGGAAAAACAGACCAGGCCAGAGTCAGTCTCAAGGCTTCCAGGGTAGACCAGCAGTCTGACCCCGGACTCAACATTGAAGCTGCTCAAGTCCAGCAGATGACCAGTCAGTCCCAGGTGAGCCTTCAAGCTGCAAGGATCAACCAGGAGCCCAACCCTGGGTTCTGCCTGAGGCTCTGGAGGACGACCAGTAGGCTGGTCTGAGCTCAGCCTCAAGGCTGGGGTGTCAATCAGCAGTCCCATCTAGGTTGAGCCTGGGTACTTCCAATGTCGAACAGGCTCTCCTCAGATTCAGCCCAAGGCTCACGGGGTAGACCAGCACCCCAACCCTGTGCTCATCATCAAGGCTGAATGGGTCGACCAGATATCCAGTCCAGGTGAACCTGAAGGCTGCAGGGGTCAACTAGGAGTCTGGATCCATGTTGTGCCTGAGGCTCTTAAGGTCGACCAGCAGGCCGACCCCGAGATCAGTCTCAAGGTTATGGGGTCGACCAGCAGGCTGCTCCCAGCCTCACTACCAAGGCTACCAGGGTCCAGCAGATGGCCGGTCCCAGATAAGCCTGCAAGATGCAGGGGTTCTACCAGGAATCTGACACTAGGTTGTGCCATAGGCTCTCGAAGTAGATTAGCAG